TCTCTGTGTAGCTTTGCGCCTTTCCTGGATCTTGCTCTGTAGACCAGGCTGGCCTCAAACTCACAGAGATCCACCTGCCTCTGCCTCCTGAGTACTGGGATTAAAGGCGTGCACCTCTCTTAATGGCTGTAGACTGAAGATAGTCTTCAAGGTCAAGGTTTGCATGATAATCAGAGTACCAGGCAATGTACTGTGTTTATTATTGGATGTTGAGTGCTAGACAAGTTAAAGAACTCAAGATGTTAAAATTGAGGTATAGACAATTAGATCCTTAAGATCACCCAACTAACTACGTGGGAGATGACTCTTAGATGTTCTGATTTCTCCTGCCACTATTCACAGTTCACCTCATAGAGAAGCATCACACACACACAAGGGGGCGCTCTTTTGGGCTTCTTTGTAAACAAAACCTAGTATTCTTAAGAAAAATGGTATGTTAGTATTTTGAACTTCAAAATTAATACTTAAAAATCTTGGATACAAAAATCATGTAGATGCAGTTTTGACACTGCTTCTTCCTCATTGATATTTAGTAATTTTTATTTTGTAAGTACATACTTACAGAAAAAAGTAGCTAGGATAAAAGACATGGAATATTTAACTTAGTCATGTCATTCAGAAAATTCTTATTTTATATTTTGAAACAAACAGGTTTATCCTACATTTATAATTTGATCACTAGTTTTGTTAGTGATATAGCAGGAAGGCTGTTGGTAATTAATTTAGTGAATTCTGTCAGTTTATTGAAGCAAATCACTGTTACTAGGCATGCTGATTTTCCCTAGATATAGGGAAATAATGTTTTCCTTAACTGACCACTTTTTCCCATAAGTGGGATCTCTTAACTCATGTGATACATTTTAAACTTTATTAAATTTATTTATATTCTGTGGATATGTGTGGCTGGGTATATGCTGTGGCGTGTGTGTAGAGGTGAGAAGATAATTTGCAGTAATAGGTTCTTTCCTTTCACCAAGTGGGATTCAGGGATCAAAATCAGGTCATCAAGGTTGGCCTGTGGTTCATTCTCTGTTTGCACACTGTGAGTGGTAAATGTATAGGAAACATTTCTAAATATAAGCACCTGGATGGGTTGGTAGTATTTGGCATATAATTCTGTACCATCTGCCTGTGTTGTGTAGAGTCATAGTTCTAAGACTTACCAGTTCTCTATTTACTTGTTTACCTCTATTCCCTTTGGCCATTTAGTTCTATCCATTAGCAAAATAATGGCATGAAGTTTTGAGAATGAAAGTAGGTAGATTCTTCCTACTTGCAGTTCCCATGCTTGTAAATTTAGATTCGAAAGAATAATTTTGAATTATATTACTGTGGATCAAGTATACAATTCTACTTAAATTGTGGTTGTAGGGAACAGGGGCCAGCTAAAGACATCCACCCTGACCCAGGAACCCAGAACCAGTGAAAGAAACACAGCCTGGATCTGGGACCTGAGCCAGTGAAAGAAATATGCCCTGGCCTTAGAATTAGAGCCAAAAAGCTTAAAAAAGAGAGAGAGAGAGAGAGAGAGAGAGAGAGAGAGAGAGAGAGAGAGAAAAGCTTAAAAAAAAAAAAAAAAAAAAAAGCCAGTGAAAAAAACACAACAGTTTGGCTCTGAAATCAGAGCCATCTGTGCCCCTGACCAATGAAACTAAACAATCCCTGAACAGAAATTTTCCCTGGAGAAACTCTGCCCCCAAAACCCCTATATAAACCACCCTGCCTGTTAAATTGTCTTTCCCACCGTGGTAGAGGCAGGCACTCTGTTGGACTTCCTAAATAAATCTCTTTCTCAGAAGAGTCTTGGGTGAAGATCTTCATTTGCTGGTGCAGAGAAGAAGAACCTTGCCAAGACTTCCTTTAGGAGACTGAGCAGGAAAAATCCTTGCTGAGAGGTTTCCTTAAGGGCTGAGCAAGGCAGAGCAGCAGAACAGAAGAACCTTGCTGAGATCTCCCTTAAGGGGACTGAACAAGGTAGAGCAGAAAAAGTAACAGCTTTTCTCAGGAGTCGGGAGATTGCTACACTTGGCAGAGTTGAAGTAAAAGAAGCAACATCTTGGGCGAGAGAGAAGAAGCCGAGCTCTGCTGGGAAGCTCTCTTAAGAGCTCAGCTGTAGTGCCTCTCCAGGAGAGGAGCAGGGTTGCTATATCCTGGAGGAGACCGTCAGCCACTGCACCCCAGCTCGAGGTATAGCCTGACTTGGGGAGCAGTCTGGATACTTTTCCCCTAGCGTTGTAACACTTGCTTACAGTGGTAATCTCAAAGAATAGAATTTTAGAGTCAACATAAAGAGATTATGTAGAACAACTTCTTGGTTGGTGACATAATTCATTCCTTAAGTTTTATTGATCACTTTGTGTGAAAAATGATAATCAAATGTTAATCTTCATGGTTAAAGTTCATGAAGTAAGATGAATATGAGTTTGACCTAATGGAAATTAAAACCTTTGTCTTTCCTATGACATGGATTTAATAAAGAGGGTTAGTAACAAATCTGGACTCAAGGATGTATGTGTTGGTACTGCTTTCCCTTGAATTACATGAGATTTAGATTGTTCCCTTTTAAATCTCTTGATTGTTAATTGAGAAAAAAATGTTTTCTTAAACTCTAGATAGGAATTTAGTGTTAACTACAAATTAAGAATTTGAGACTTAATTAGAATGAATTAGTGATTTTATATATAATGAAAAGGAAAACTGGCATGGAGGTGTGACACAGCAATACATTTAAGGTTTCTTGTTGTAGTTTTTACTTGTGCTAAACAGTTTAAGGATCATACATCATCAAATTAAGCTTATATTTTTTGTTTGTTTTTCGAGACAGGATTTCTCTGTGTAGCTTTGCGCTTTTCCTGGATCTCGCTCTGTAGACCAGGCTGGCCTCGAACTTACAAAGATCTGCCTGCGTCTGCCTCCCGAGTGCTGGGATTAAAGGCGTGCGCCACCACCGCCCGCCAAGCTTATCTTTTTAAACCAAAGAAAAGCATACTATATTAAAATGATTTTTATAAGATGACGTATTTTATCACAGTTTCTTAGTATTACTTTACTACTTAAAACACTTGATAATAGTGGATTTCTAGTTTCTACATCTAAATATTTAGTTTATTGCTTCATTGCTTAGCTAACTTTTGTCTTATCTGTTCGGCTTTGTTTCTGAGCAATACTAATCACTGTGCTTATTGTTTGAATGTCTGGTACAGGAAGCGAGCAGCTGCAAAGCATCTAATAGAACGCTACTACCACCAGTTAACCGAGGGCTGTGGAAATGAGGCCTGCACGAATGAGTTTTGTGCTTCCTGTCCAACTTTTCTTCGTATGGATAACAATGCAGCAGCTATTAAAGCCCTTGAGCTTTATAAAAATAATGGAAAACTCTGTGATCCTCATCCCTCCAAGAAAGGAGCAAGCTCAGCTTACCTTGAGAACTCAAAAGGCACACCTAACTCAGACATAAAAATGAACAAGGACGGAAAAGGAGCTAAGCCTGATTTTAGAGGTAAGAGATTGTATTTTCATTTGGGAATAGTTAATTAAAAGCTGTATCAGAGATTTAAATGTTTTGCTTTTGTTCTTTTGCCTTTTTGTGACCTAAAGACATCACAGTATAGTGAAAGCCACTCTTTTGGTAAGATGTGGTAAAAGACAGTTATAATTGAATTAGTTACTTTATTACATTTTATTGATATAGTAGTTGTTAGTCAGAAGCAGATTATAATCTAAAAGTTGATATGTTAATGAGTTGATCTCAATATGTAATGATTTCCATTGTACCTAATAGCTTATTAGCTCACAAAGTCTATTACATATATTGCATTTGCAGTAAATCCTGGTATGAGCTCTGAAACTTCAGGGACTGTGGTAAAAGAAATTATATATATATATATATCAGGGCAATATTTGCAATAGTTATCTAAAAAGTGTTGGATTTTTTGGTAACATTTTCTTCCCATATACTGTCTTTACATTGGGTATTTGTTATCCTCACAAGGGACTCAGGTCTTGTTTTTTTTTTTTGTTGTTGTTGTTTGTTTTGTTTTGTTTTAAGCAAGGTTACTAAGACTGTCTTTGGACTTTTATTGATTAAAGGATTGGGCCAGCATACCTGGTTTATGTGGTACTGGGAATGAAAGCTAAGTCTTTGTAAATGCAAGATAAGCACTGCCAACTGAGTTACATCCCAACCAATCTGTTCTTTTTAAAATGGCCCTATATTTTGAAACATCTTAAAACTTTCTTCTTTTCCCTCATGGATATCCAATCTTTCTTTTTCTTGGTGTAAGTAATTAGTATTAGCAATGAGGTAATTTAATTTTTCAGATTGCCAGGACTTAGACCCACTGTCATTTGAAACATGTTTAAAAGAATTGGTGTAATAAAATTATGTTAAAACTTTATACTGTTATTCCACAATATAACTATAGAAAAATCAGAAACTTTGCTACTCAAGATACACAGTCAGTCCTTTTTCATGAATTTTCTCACATATGGATAAATAGGTGAATGCTATCAATATGTTGGATGTGGAAGTTGTGTTAGCTTCATTTTACATGTTTTTGCCACAGAGGGGCATCACAGAGTATCAGTAAATGAAGTATAATATGCCACTGTGATTGAATGCAACTAGCTGTAGGAAATCTAGTACATAATGGGTGTATTAGTCATTTTTTTTTGTAATTTCTTGTTTTGTCTATCACTTCAATTTTTATTGCCTTTACTCATTATAATATTTTTTATTAGGAATTACACATGCTTAATCATACTACAGTTCTCATTTTGATAATTGTATTTGTTCAATCTAATTAGATGTGTAGGTATTGATTATTGTATGACAGCTGTGTTCTTACATGAAACTGTCTTGTACTTTTTAGAGTATAAAATACTATGTTTTAAGATTGTCTTTTAGCTGAGTCTTGTGTCGTTGTAGTCTAGGTACTCAGGAAGCCAGGGAAGAATCATCTTGAAATCCAAGTGAATCTTAAAAATGTTTCTTCACTTACCCGTTCATTGATAGCCAGACTGTAACTATTTGTATTTCTGATAGCAGTGCTTTACATACACACACAGATACACATACACAGAGGGAAGGAGAGAGGGAGAGAGGGGTGGGGAAGAGAGGAGAGTTGTCAGTTAAACATTTCAAGCAAAACACTGATTAGAACAAGTATTGGTACATTGTAGGATTGTAGGTCAAACATCTCCTAACAGGCTCTTTATTCATTATAGATATTTTCTATGTTTTTGGTTACATTTTAGAGAAAAATTAGGTAGACTTGAATGATCAAAGAAGATACTATAGTATTTTCCAGTTATAATGAGAAATAAGCTCAATGTTAGTTCTTTATACTTACTTATTTTCAAGAAACTGAAGAGTTAGTCCTTGGATTGGCATACTAGCTCATAGGTACATGTACCTACTGCCAAGCTTCATGGCTTGAATTAGATGCCTGAGACCCACATTATAGAAGGAGAAAACCAAATCCTTCAGGTTATCCTCTCACCACCACATGTCTGCTGCCCCCTTACCCCTATTAAATATATATATATATATAAGAACAACACTTCTTTTTAAAAGAAAGAATTCAAGATCATAAAACAAATGTGTTGATATTCTTGGAACAGCCTACAGATCAGGTTTGCAGTATATAATGCTTATTGTTCCATGGTTTATGTTTTGGAAGCCATTCTGTCAATGATGACTTGAATTTTATATTGTCTCTTACTGTTGAGTAGGTACCTTGAATAATATGTAGGAATCATAGGAAAGGTTTTTGCATGCTTTGTTTTTTTGACTGTCATGGGAGACCTGCCCTTTCCTAAACAGAAACTGAGGAGTGGATTCAGGGGTGGGAACAGAGAGGCGAGGAGAGGAGGGGGAGGAGAAACTGTGGCCAGGATGTAAACATCAATAAATAATTTTCTTAAAAAAGGATTTTTACATGCTGAATGTATATAAGGAAATACTTGACACAGTGAAGGTAGGGATGAATTGGCAACATAACTATAAAATTATCCTCCCCTAAATATTTAATGATTATAATACTCTTGATTAAAGGATTAAGTTTTGAGCATTATTTGATATTTAATTTCTAAAATTTTAGTATATAAAATGTCATTCATCTTTTTCCAATAAGATAAAATGTCTTGTGTTTTGTTACCCGGAAAGGGTAAAGCCTTTGGTGAAAGTGACATTTACTGTAAAGGTGAGGGAAACTAGGAAGTTTATGATCCCAGTTTTGTGCCTGGGAGAAAATAGATATAAGTTTTGGTGCTTGTGGCCTTTGCTTTCTTAGCTTCTACCCGCTGTTTGTAATCATTTCCAGTTGCTCTCTTAAGAGTTATTAGGACCTGAATTATGGTAACAGGTAGTAGTAGTAGTAGCAGCAGCAGTCATACTTCAGAGTTTGTATGAGTAGTAGTCACAGAATAGAATCCCTGGAAGAAATGAGGAAAACATAAAATGAATCAGTTTTTGTTTGTTTGTTTTTTGGGAGGGTGGGGGGTGGGGGAGGTTTTGTTTTTTTATGACAGAGTTTCTCTGTGTAACAGCTGTGGCTGTTCTGGAACTCGTCTGAACTCACAGAGATCCGCTTGCCTCTGCCTCCGCCTCCTAAATGTTTGGATTAAAGGTGTGTGCCACTTGATTTTAATATATACAAAAGTAGGAAAAGTTGCTTGCATATGATGGGACCAAGGAACATCTGTTATAAAACCTTGCCTCCTTAATCTTTTGTGAACAATGCTAGGGAAAAATGCATTCAGTATATCAGTGTAGTAGCTCTTCATCAAGGTTGTAATATACTACAGTGATGAAATAACACACACACACACATATATATATATATATATATATATATTAGTTCATACTTATAAAAGTTATATACTAATACGTCTTGATTGCAAAGCAAATCTTTTTTTTTTTTTTTTTTTCGAGACAGGGTTTCTCTGTGTAGCTTTGCGCCTTTCCTGGGACTCACTTGGTAGCCCAGGCTGGCCTCGAACTCACAGAGATCCGCCTGGCTCTGCCTCCCGAGTGCTGGGATTAAAGGCGTGCGCCACCACCGCCCGGCTGCAAAGCAAATCTTAATCAACATGACATAATTAATAATTATATGTTGTTGAATGAATGCCAAGGGTGAGGTTGTTGGTATTACTTGAATGAAAAAGGAATTACTAAGTGTAGTGTGTTGATAGGTAAATTAGATTTATTATTTACAATTTCTAGCCCTTTGAGTTCTGAATGTTTAGGTATTTTACATTTATTATGTAACTTATGACAAAATAAACATAATATTACGACAGTAAATGTTCTTTTTCTTTCCATTTTTTAGATGTGAATTACCTAACTGAAGAGATAGTGTATGAAATTCTTGACGTATGTAGAGAAAGTGAGGATTACTCCCCTTTAATTCGAGTAATTGGAAGAATTTTTTCTAGTGCTGAGGCATTGGTTATGAGCTTTCGGAAAGTCAAACAACATACTAAGGAGGAATTGAAATCTCTTCAAGAAAAGGATGAAGACAAAGATGAAGATGAAAAAGAAAAAGCTGCATGTTCTGCTGCTGCATGTTCTGCTGCTGCTGCATGTTCTGCTGCTGCTGCATGTTCTGCTGCTGCTGCATGTTCTGCTGCTGCTGCATGTTCTGCTGCTGCTGCTGCTATGGAAGAAGACTCAGAAGCATCTTCTTCAAGGATGGGTGATAGCTCACAGGGAGACAACAATGTACCAAAATTGGGTCCTGATGAAGTGACTGTGGATATTGATGCTATTAGAAGGGTCTATGCCAGATTGCTCGCTAATGAAAATTTAGAAACTGCCTTTCTCAATGCACTTGTGTATCTGTCACCTAACGTGGAATGTGACTTGACATATCATAGTGTGTATGCCCGAGATCCTAATTATCTCAATTTGTTCATTATTGTAATGGAGAATGGAAACCTCCACAGTCCTGAATATCTGGAAATGGCGCTGCCATTATTTTGCAAAGCTATGTGTAAGCTACCCCTTGAAGCTCAAGGAAAACTGATTAGACTTTGGTCTAAATACAGTGCAGATCATATTCGGAGAATGATGGAAACATTTCAGCAACTTATTACGTTCAAAGTCATAAGCAATGAATTTAATAGCCGAAATCTAGTGAATGATGATGATTCCATTGTTGCTGCTTCAAAGTGTTTGAAAATGGTTTACTATGCAAATGTAGTGGGAGGGGAAGTGGACACAAATCACAATGAGGAAGATGATGAAGAGCCCATACCTGATTCCAGTGAATTGACATTGCAGGAGCTTTTGGGAGAGGAACGAAGAAACAAGAAAGGTCCTCGGGTGGACCCAATAGAAACTGAACTTGGTGTTAAAACTCTAGATTGTCGAAAACCACTTATCTCCTTTGAAGAATTCATTAATGAACCACTGAATGATGTTCTAGAAATGGATAAAGATTATACCTTTTTCAAAGTTGAAACAGAGAACAAATTCTCTTTTATGACATGTCCCTTTATATTGAATGCTGTCACAAAGAATTTGGGATTATATTATGACAATAGAATTCGCATGTACAGTGAACGAAGAATCACTGTTCTCTACAGCTTAGTTCAAGGACAGCAGTTGAATCCATATTTGAGACTCAAAGTCAGACGTGATCATATCATAGATGATGCACTTGTCCGGGTAAGTTTGACTGCTATTTAAAATCAGAATTAAACTAAAAGCTACAAAGTGACATATTTTAATGTATTCATTTTATTTATGGTTTTGAAAAAAAATCTTATAATTTAGTAACATGTTTGTATTTCTTATCTATATTACTACACCTATTTTGCTACTCACCAAAAATATTGGTTATATTGGTTGTCTAATCTAATGATTATTTTCTTTTTGAAGAAGAATAGATTTTATAGTGCTGGGGAGATGACTTATTGGGTAAAGGTTGCTGTGCAAATATGAGGACCTAAGCTTGGATTCCCTGAACATGTGTAAAGCAGGATGTGGTAGTACCATTTATAATTCCACATCCTAAAACAAGATGGAAGGTAGAGACAGAAGAACCCTTAGAGCTTGTGGGTCAGATAGCCTGTTATATAAAGTAGCAAATAACTAGATCTTGTCTCAGAAGGTAGAAGGCAAGGACTGATACTTGATGTGCTCTGACTTCTACTAATGCACTTCCCCTTTCTCTCTTTCTTTCTCTTTCTTTCTCTCTTTCTCTCT